GGGCTTCCTGGGCCTGGGCCGGGGGGGTGGGGGGCATGAGGTAGCAAGATTCGTCCCCAAGAGCAGGCCCTGGCTCTGGCCTGATGGTGAAGTGGCGTTGATATTCCCCTCGAATGCCACGATAAAACCAAGCCGCCGTGCAGGCCTGCCATCCTGGCACTGTCGCCCCGGCCCTGGGACGCTGGGACAGGCAGAGAGAGTTCCAGAACAGCCTGGGCTACACAGCAAGACCTTGTCTCAACAGCAACAACAAAATCTGAATACCAGTGGTTTACACCTGCCATCCAGCTACTCAGGAGGCTGAGATCCGAAGATCTAAGTTCAAAGCCAGCCCATCCAGGCTGGGAAGTCTGTAAGATGCTTTATCTCCAATTAACCAGCAGAAAGCTGGAGGTGCCCCTCAACGAGTGCGGGGTCAGCCTTAAGAAAAAAAGCCAAGCAAGAACACACAAGAGCAAGTCCAGCACGAGAGCAGTTCGTCTGTGCTGTGGACAGCGCTGGGTCCCGGAGGGCGGCCTCCCAGCCAGGGCCCAGGGCTCCCGCAGCGTGAGGAGCAGGTTTTGAACAGGATGGAGGGGGGGCTGCAGGAAGGAGTTCTACATGCCACTGAACTGTTCACGTTAAATGGTTGCTCTTTAGTTTGTGCTGGTCCTGGGGCTTGAACTTAGGGCCTAGGCAGTGTCCCTTGGTTTCTTTGGTCAAGGCTAGTGTTCTACCACCTGAGCCACAGCTCCATGTCTGGCTTTTTGGTGATTACTTGGAGCTAAAGGGTCTCGCAGACTTCACACCTCCATCCTCAGATCTCAGCCTCCCGAGAAGCCTGGGTGGCCAGGGCCTGGCTGGGGTGATCGTTTATGTGATAGTGATTTCACTCGGATAAATTATCTTTCCAAGTCCAGACAGCATTGCATCCTTAGGCTCCCGCCAGCCGGGCTGGGGAAGCTAGGTGTGGTTTCCCAAAACCCCTGGTCTGCACCTCAGCAACTGGCAAAGGTCCTGATCACTAGTACAGAGGCCCGGCCTGCAGCTTCAGCCCGAGCTCGCCCGGGCCGGGCCCTCCAGCAGGGCTGGAGAAAGGATGGCGGCTGGACATCAGTGGCCTCGGAGAACAGAGCTGGGGCCCTGGGGCCCGCCGTGGCCACTGGCTGCTGAGGCCGTTTGTCCTGCTGGGATCTGTGATCAGTGACCTGGGCTGTTTGTTGGTTAGGGTTTTATTTGGTTTTTAAAACCTGAAATCCCCCCCCCTTTGTGAGCAAGGATGCTGTGTTAGTTAGTGAGCTGAACAAAGGGCAGCCAACCCCCGAGAGACACGCATGTTTATGGGGTACCTCAGCCCAGGTCCCACTGGTCATGCCGTGGCGAATGTGCACGCCCAGGGTGGGCCTACGCCGTGGGCTCGGGGCCTGGGCGCTGTCCCTGAGCTTTTTGGCTCAAGGTGGTTGGTGCTTTACCACTTGAGCCACAGCCCTATTTCTGGACGGTAGGTGGCTCATTGGAGATGAGGGTCTACGGACTTCCCTGCCCGGCTGGGCTGGCTTCCACCTGTGATCCTCAGATCTCCGCCTCCTGAGCGGCTGGGATGACAGGGTGGGCCTGGCTTCAGATCTGCCTTGCGAAGCCGGCGGCCTCTGGTCTGGAGGGCTGGGCAGCCCCAGCCTCCTGTCTCACAAATTCTGGGTTGCACAGTTGTGAAAGAGGACAAATTCATTCACACTAAGGTGGGAGTGGCTGCCACGATCCCACCACTGCCGGGCAGTGTTCTAGCAGGCGCGGTCCTCAGGCCCTCAGAACAGCCGGTCTGTGCCAGGCTGCACACGTCGGCTGATGATTTTACATTTGAGTGATGTTACAAGTATCCAGACAGCCCCTGGGAGGGGGACTTCGGGCTCCCGTCCGGCTGGCTGGGGTGGCCACAGGTTGGAGGGAGGGGCTGCTTTGTCCCAGCCCCTCCCCAGGGAAGGATGGGGACCCTGTGGTCCAATCAGAGTTCACCTCCCCACAGGCCATGTGCACAGCCCTCTGAGCCGCTCGCCACCTGCTCCCTCTGCCGCCGCGGCGCCCTGCGCGTAGGACAGCGGCAGCCTGGAGGACTCCTCGGGCGCTTCCTTTCTCCCCCAGGCTGCCCTGGATGTGGCTTCTCCGGCCGCCAATGTCCTACGCTAGGGTCAGCTGAGGTCACAGCCCTTGAACATGAGTGATGAATAAATCCTTGGTTTAGCTAGGTGCCGGTGGCTCACACCTGTCATCCTAGCTACTCAGGAGGCTGAGATCTGAGGATCACGATTCAAAGCCAGCCTGGGCAGAAAAGTCCTTGAGTCTTATCTCCAATGAACCATCAAAACAAAGTGGAACTGTGGCTCAAGTGGTAGAGCACTAGCCTTGAGGAAAAAAAAGCACAGGGACAGTGCCCAGGTCCTGAGTTCAAGCCCCAGGACTGGCAAAGACAGAAAGCAAAACAGAGACTACGCAAAACACTGGTCCAAATGGATGCACAGCATCCCGAGAGCATGCAGCATTTGTGGGCTGCTGGCGCCCTCTGGTGGTCACTGTGCAGCACTGCAGTGCTCACCTCTCTCCCAGGATTCCTGGACCCTGAACCCGGCTGGAGGGAAGCAGCCACCAAGCTGCACTCATCAGCACGGTGCTGGCCGGTGCCGGCTGGTGCCTCGGCAGTTCCCCGTCCTCTGCGCGGCCTGCGGGTGATCAGGTAAGAGGGCAGCAAAGGCGTCACACCGCCAGCTTCCTGCATGGTTGCTATCAGACAGCTGTTGTTAATCATGCTGGCCATTGTGGTTCGCTCCCCGGGGACCCTGCAGCACCTCTGAGCCTCGGTTTCCCCATCTAGAATGTGGTAAGAGCCTTGTGTGTTCTGTAGAACAGTCTGGAGGTTTTCAATGTGCAATGGCGGTGGTGAGGACGTGGGCACATCCTCACCTGAGGGCAGGTGACAATGCGGGGTGGGGGAGGGGGTGGCCCTTCAGTCGTGCAGGGCATGATGGGAAATCAGTCTGTTTCCAGCCTGTAAAATGCCACGTCGGCCACACTGCGTCTCAGGGAATGGCATGGTGACAAGGGTCCTGGATGAGGCAGGGCCCCAAGTGAGAGTTGACTCTGGAAGGTTCTGGAATCTGCAGTCCTGCCAGTGTCACACTCCATCAGCAAGACAGCCAGAGAATTCTCAGATGGGGGAGAGCACAAAGCCCAGGGGTCAAAGGAAAACCCGGAACAAAATCAGACCCAGTGCAGCAGGTGGGGACGGGGGGGGCACAGAGGGGTCGCGACAGGCCTGCAGCCCGGGGACCGTGCGGCCTGAGCGCCCAGCACACGCGGTGTACCAGTCAGTGGGGAGGCTGGGACTGCAGGTGTGGTCTAGAACCTCTCCAGAACGCGCCGCACCTGGAATCCGCCTCCGCCAATAGGGGGCAGTGTCCTTCGGTGACTACGGAGCCTGGTGCCTTGCTCTTCTCCACTGTACCATCGGGGTTTGGTGGACCCCAGCAACCAGGGGTTGAACCAAGGGTCTGGGGACTGCTGGCAGTGCCCTGGGGGGAGCCAGCTGCGCAGGGGCTGAGACGCTGCGATGGTATGCGCACCCGGGGAAACATGGAGACGGGCGCTGCAAACGTCTGCAGAGTGCTTCCCAGAACAGCACAGCAGCCATCTGATGCCAACTGCGGACTGAGGAGGGCCCCGGTGAACGCGGGGAGGGCGGGTGAATCCCGGGGCCCACACGACCCCCCCCTCTTCCACTGGCCGGTCCCTGCACCCTGCCCTGCCTCCCTTGCAGTCCAGCTGTCCCCCGCTGCGCTGAGCCAGCCGGCGCTCGCTGCCCCCCCCCCCCGCTTCTGTCGCCTTGGAGTTGGAGGTCCGCAGAACTGCCCGCCTTCCTGGGCATGAGGGATCCTGTGCGAGCACGGGGGCAGGCCCACAGCCACCCCTCAGCATCCTGCACCTCCTCTGGAGGCTGGCCCCCCGAGAAGAGAGCCATTTGCCTCCTGCACCATTTGAGGCTGGCACTAAGGCTGCAGGCACGTCCTCTGTGCTCGCCGGGCGGGCATGTGGCTGGGCCTGGCTCCAAGTGTTCCCAGGCTGCCGCTCCCACAGCTCCCACAGCTCAGCCAATCACAGCCACCCTTCCACCCAGGAGTCTTCACCTCCTTTCCACTCCATGTACTGAGGCTGCTCATCCTGCCAGAGGGGGGCAGCAGAGCACAAGTCAGCAGAGACACAGGGGCGGGGCTGCCCCTGCCTGGCGCCGCGGGGCTGCCCCTGCGTCCCAGGCTCCCCTCCCACCCCCAGCGCCCCCGTGGCTGGGAAGGTGGCGGTGTGGGAAGAGTTCTCTGCGTCCCTCCTAGTACCAATATTTTTTAAAATGTGCCCAACGAGTGCTGGCGCATGCCTGTAATCCCAGCACTCAGGAAGACGAGACAGATCGAATACCAGGCCAGGCTGGGCTATAGCACACCTGTCTCAAAACATCAGCAAAGGGCTGGGAAGGCGGCTCAGCGGAGAGCGCTTGCCTGGCACGCACGAGGCCCTGGGTTCGATTCCTCGGTATCACATACACAGAAGAAGCTGGACGTGGCGCTGTAGCTCAAGTGATAGAGCACTAGCCTTGAGCTGAAGAGCTGAGGGACAGCGCCGAGGCTTTGAGTTCAAGCCTCAGGACTGGGAAGAAAAGAAAGTCAGCAAAAACTACAAACTCTAGGTACTTGGCAATGTGGATCAAAGAGGATCTTCTTTTTCCATACTGGGGTTTGGACTCAGGTCCTGCAGCCTGACAGCTGCTACACTAGTTGAGCCTCACCTCAGGCCTTTGAGGGTGATTTCTAAATAGTTTATGCACTCTTAAAAATGATCCAGGGCACTTAGGGGAAAGCCAAGACAGAGCAGAGCCAACCCCGGTGGCACGTGAGCATGGCTTTACCTGTCAAGGGCAGAAGCCACCGGAACCCCAGCAGGAAGATGCCACACGGAATCGACACAGGAACTAGTATGAGAACTGTCCATTGGTTACTTTATTTTATATAAAAGTTACATTGAAAGGAGAGGTTGAAAGTCAAGTATACTTGATTCGCCAAGTCTCGCGGTGCGGACCGCTGTGATAGTGACTTTGATTGAATAGGTTGGACATACTTCAAGCCTCCCACCCGTGTCCAAGCCAGACACGGTGTGCAGCGACTACTGGACACGGTCCTGGTCAACCCGCGCTGACCTCTGGCTGTGAGTCTGTCCCTTCCCTCAGGCTTGTCACCAGCGGTCACCGCAGAGCGACCGAGGCCGACACACAGCAGACAGGAAGGCAGCCGGTGCCCAGGCGGGCACCCCCGTCAGCGGGCACGGGCGTGGCGCCTCCTCACGGCCAGCAGCGAAGGGACAGCGGGCAAGTTTAAGGCAAGCCCCGCAGAGGGGAGCTGTTTGCTTCCTGGCATAATTTTAAGCTCTCTCGCACCAAGGGTCCAGTTATCACCTGTGCTGTGGGTAGAGAACGAACATAAAAACCAAAGCCACCAGCGCGGCGCAGGTGCCCAGAGGGGCCGCAGGCTCGCGGGGCTGTGCACGGCGCGGCCGGAGCAACCGCAAGCTCAGCCCTGGGCCTCAAGCACTGTGGATCTGAAAGTAAAATGCAAACGCGGCCGCAGAGGGCCGCGCAGGAATGACTGCTCTTTGGATCCGGCTCTCCGTGTGCAATACATTCACAGGAGCCCCTGCGGGGCCACCAGCCCACCCCACTTCCCTGAAACGGCGGTGTCTAAAAATAGCTTGTTTGCTGCACACACCAGTAAATGTCACACTGCCGATTTTGACACACATGCACGCGCGCACAGACACACACACAGATGGACGCACACACGGACTTGCTGTTCAGTGCAGAGCCAGAGCCTGCCCGGGCCGCCGGGTCTCTGTGGAGACGCCCCTTCCGGCCAGGGAGCCACACGGCCTGCCATCTTGGATTGAGAAGAGCAGCTTGGTACATGGGGTTCCTGACCCATGTAGCACCCCACAGCCTCCTGACAACACAGCTGTGCAGGAAGGGGGACAGCCTTCCCTCGGGACAGGCCCTGGGTCCGTGGAGCCACTGGCCGCCCGCAGCAGCTGGGCAGCTCCACCTGCTGCTGGTCCCGATGTGGGCAAGGCCGCCGCCACCGCTGACTCCAGTGACAACAAATGTCTGAGACTGAGTCGGGCCGGCCGGAGGCTCACACGGAGAACTCGGGGCCCCCTTTCCTGGGCCTGAGTTGCAGTTGCCTGAGGCGGAAGCCGACAAAGGGGTTCATCCAGAGGAGTGAGGGAGGACCCCCAAAGACGGACTTCATCCCCTCCCACCGCAGCCTCCGCTCCCACGTGGGCTTCTCGCTCTTCAGTCTCTCGATCTCCTGGATACAAGAAAGGACCGAGTGGGCAGCAGTTCCGGGAAGGCCCTGGCCACTGGTCAGACCCTGAACTGCACACCGGCACAGCTAGCTTCTGGGCAGACGGCTATCAGACCTGGCCTGGCGGGCGGGACCCCCGGGGCCCCAGCATTTCTACGTGGTGCCTTCTAGGCCTCAGCATACACACATACCAGAGCCGACCTAGCGGCAGCACAGGGCAGGGGGCCCAGGCAAGACCTGAAATGGGCACCGAGGGAGGGAACGCGGGGCTCAGGGGACCACCCCCAGGCCCCCAGCAGGGCCGGCAAGGCCTACCGTCTCGTCGTTGCATATGGAGTGGATCTGGGTGCCAAACATGACTGCCGTGAACGTGAAGAACAGGAGACCCTCAAGGCACAGGAAGATCAGCAGGACCACCGTTATGGGAGGGGAGAAGTCACTGCATTCTGTGGGCAGAGCGGGCCGGGTGACTGCGGGGCAGAGCCCGAGGGCAGGCGCCCGTGGCTTCACAGGGCGATGTGCAAGAGAGGGGTGGCAAGGCAGCCCTTCCCAGCAACCTGAGCCCTGCTGCCGGCCCCATCTTCCCCGAGGTCTGACCCAGCCACACCCGCCCCACCCGCCTGAGCTCAGGCCCCTAAAATGGGGGTCCCTCAAAGCCCGCCTGGGCCACTGAAGTCCAGAGACACAAGGCCAGGTCAGGTCAGCTAGGCAGGAGACAGACATGGCTAAGGTGTGTGTTGGGGGGGTGTGGGGGGAACAACAGTAATTTCCCTCTAGTCTCAAAAGCCTGCAAACTACAGATGATGACGTTATCTGAAGAGCAACTGCACAGCTTCAGCACAGCGCATGGCAGGGGTCAGCGCGGCCCACGGGCTTTTCAGGACTGGACTCCCAACTCTCCCCTGCAGTTCCCACCCCGTGCATCCCATGTACTTACCGGTCCACTGCCCACGGACACAGGAGATGAACTGGAGCCCACAGAGGATGAGCGCGTGGACCGAGGACAGGGCGATGTACATCTGCGGGGGAGGTGACGTCACCTTCCCATCCCCCCCCCCGCCCTCACCGCGAAGACACGTGCCTGCTCAAGAGCAGAGTCTTCTGGAAGGTGAGCTGTGGGGATTGGTACCCACATCCACTGGGACCACAACCCCCACCCCGTGCCAGCACAGCGGTGGCTTCAGCATCTGGACCAAGGACTGATTTCCGCTCTGGGCCAGCTCTAGGCGGACTCTCCCGTCACACCCCCCCCCCCCTTGCTACTCACAGTGAAGAGCACAAAAAACCTCTGGTTCTTCTCTCCCACGCAATTGTTCACCCAGGGGCAGTGATGGTCCATTTTCCGGATACATCTCTTGCAAATACTGAAAGGGAGAGTGTACTGAGCATGCGTACTCTGGGGCAAGGCCAGGACACGTCCTGTAAATCATGCACAGGCCTGCGCTGCAGCGTGCTGCTCCTTTAAATTAAATGTCCTTGCTCCCCAAGGAAGTCCATGCACTAAAAGGCACAGTTCCAGACTCTTGCAGCAAAACTGGGCCAGGCATACCTATTGATAATGCAGCAAGCTGACTGGTTCAGAAAAACAAAAACCTGAGCTTTTAAATTCACAGAGCTAAATAGGGTGGTGCGTGGCTGTAACCCCGGCACTTGGGAGGCCAGCCTTGGCCAAACAGCGAGACCGAGAAATGTCTGGCGCCTTCAAATGATCCTACCACCCATTCACACCCACACTGTGCCACTCAGCCCCGCTCGAGGGCGGCCTTATTCTTACAACTGGGGTCTACCGTCCACGCCTTGCACTGGATTTGAATCGGCTCCCAGCTGTGTTTCAGAAACAGCTTATGCCAACTAATTGGGTGGAGCTGGGCACCCAGGGCTGCCCCCGAGGGTGGACGCTGGCTTACCCAGCTAACCGCACACTGAGCACAGGCGGCAGCTGCTCAGTGTCCTGCAAGGGACAGCAGACCGGGGGAGCCAGGACGTGGAGCCGTGAGTGGACACACTGCGCAAAGACTTGGGCAGGGCGCCAGGAGACCTGCAGCGTGCCAGTGTCTACTTGAACTGCTCTGGCTCCTCTCTGAAACCACCGGTGTCTGCCAGCATGCCCCACAGACACCGGCGCTGCTTTCTGTGAGCAGCAGGGCCGGTAAGGGAAGCAGAGCATGGGAGAGCGAGCCCTGTGAATGAGGCAGAGAGGCCCAGGAGTGGGGCAGAGGGGCACCTCCTACTCCCTCCACACAGCTGGCCAGGTGAGCTGCGTGCACACGCACCAGCCCTTGCCAACCAGGCCCTGGAGAGAGCAGGGCACCATGCTGCTTCTCCTGCTCTGGCAAGTCTAGGGCCGAGGGGGAGGGGGAGGGGCAGGCACTGGCCTGAGGCTCTCGAGGGTGCCGGGGTTGCAGGGTTGGGGGGAGGAGGAGGGCGTGTGTCGGGCGCACCTGCAGTGGTGGGCGCGCTCGGGCTTGATGCAGCAGCACTTGGGGCACTTGTAGATCACCTCGCCCGGCTTCAGCCGCAGGCTCTCCATGTACTCCTTGGTAGCATTCCCCTTGGGAACTGCCCCCTGCCGCACGGGAGCATGTGTTAATTGGGGAGAAGGGGAGGTTAATGCATTTCGTGCTAGGGCCACCTCTCACAGCGTGAGTATGAAAAACTAGCTATGACAGGGCAGGGCCGGAAGTGTCAGGTTAAATGACATCCACCCAGGCTCAACAGCCAACAGCCCAGAGGCCGGCCTTCCCAGATACCCTTCCCTCCATAGACAGCCCCCCCCCCCGCACTTCCTGTCACGGCGGTGGAAAGCAGCAGCAGACCCCAGAACCTCAAAGGCACTGTGTCTCATGATGTTGCAGCCAGCCTCACCAAGCATGCTCACAAGCCCCGCAACGGGGTTCAGACCCCAGCCGGACAGATCGGCCCATGTGCTGGAGGGGCTGGGCGGCCGCCAGCAGCGGGGGAGGGAGGCTGGGAGGGGAAGGTGCAGAGGAGGTGCCGTGCCCCGCTCCACAGCGAGGACGGGGTTTGTGGAGAGAGGATGCTGCTCTGGAGCGGGGATGTCTGCACGTGCCACGGCAGCACGCGGCCATGGTGCCCGGGCCCTGTGTGTAAGCAGCGTCTCCCCGCAGCGGACGTGGAGAAGCCACGAGCCTGGACGACCGAGCACGGGCGCCAGCCGCAGAGCGGGCGGCGGGGCGGACACTCACGGGGTCGGTGAGCATGGTCCTCAGGTGCGACGACAGCGCGAGCACCGCCAGGCAGTTGAACAGCACCCCGTTCACCACCGCGTACCACAAGTCTTTGGAGGGCAGCAGCATGACAAACGTCACCACAAAGTCTGCGTAGACGACCAGCAGCCAGGTCACGATGGCACAGACCACGCCACAGCCATCGCGGATGAACCACACCCCGTCCACCACGTCGGCCTCGGAGGACGAGGAGGACGCCGAGTCGTAATTGTCGTCCGCCAGCAGAGGATGGTGTTCCACGTCCCGCAGCCGGCGTCCTGACGGCTGCATGATTCCCAGACGCGAACCCCTGCGGAGGTGCGGGGGGGCGGGTGAGGCCCAGGGACACAGCCACCTTCCACAGGGGTCCCCGTGCCCTGGGCCCCTTTGCAGTCACTGAAAGACTTTGAAGACAGCAGGAAAGAACACACAGACTGAGCTGGCTCAGAGCTGAATGGCCCCACCTTTGCCTAACTGTCCATCTGGTCACCCTGCCACACACAAAGACAATGGCATGCAAATCCACAGCTCCCACTGCCTGGCAGGGGGCTGGCTCGCTGACCCCAAGGTCCACCTGCTCTGCTTTGGTCAGTCCAGCTCACACAGCCTGGACGCAGGCAGGGGACAGGACCCCGTGTCTCATGCGGAGCTGCAGCTCCCTCTTGGCTTTTCCCTGTGTGTGTGTGACCCGCGCTGCCCACCAGCCTCCTCTTACCACTCCCAGCCCTAACGACACCTGTGTCTGGACACACCCTCGTGTCTTCAACCTGGCAAGGGTGCCTCCAGCGACTAGTCCGTTCTGGCATTGGACTGCCAGACAGTAAAGGAACCCAGCTCCTCCCCCGGCGGCGACCGTGCGGACAGCTCCTTGATGCACGACCTTCTCTAATCATGTGTACCCAGGGCGGAACACTGCTGGCAAATAAAGCCTGGGGACTCAAAGTCCTCTCTGTCTTGGCCTCTCAAGACGAGAGCAAAAGCCGGGCGCTGGTGGCTCACGCCTGTAATCCTAGCTACTCAGGAGGCTGAGATCTGAGGATCGTGGTTCAAAGCCAGCCCGGGCAGGAGAGACCGTGAGACTCCTATCTCCAATAAACCACCAGAAAACCGGAAGTGGCGCTGTGGCTCAAGTGGTAGAGCGCTCGCCTTGAGCTGAAGAGCTGAGGGACAGCGCCCAGGCCCAGAGTTCAAGCCCCACGACCGACAAAAAAAAAAAAAAAAGATGAGAGCAAACACCAAGGGGTGTGCTGGGACAGAGCTGCGCTTCCCAAGCAGAAACGGAACCCGATTAATGCAGGCAGGGTGCGAGGTGTGCGAAGGGAAGGAGGCCTTGCGCTTGGAATGGCAGGCGGCAGCTATCGCACGGCAGTCGTGGAAACAGGTGAGGACCTTGCTGGAGAGCACTCAGACACCTGGGACCCCTGGGACTCCCCACAGCGCCTTCCCAATGCGAAAGCGCGGGCCAGCACAGTCCGTGAGGACCTTGCTGGAGAGCACTCAGACCCCTGGGACCCCTGGGACTCCCCACAGCGCCTTCCAATGCGAAAGCGCGGGCCAGCACAGTCCGTGAGGACCTTGCTGGAGCACTCAGACCCCTGGGACCCCTGAGACTCCCCACAGCGCCTCCCAATGCGAAAGCACGGGCCAGCACAGTCCATGAACAGCCCCACTCCCGGGCCAGGCTGGAACAGCTTCAAACTTCTAAGTAACATAGGAGGATGGAGAGCACGCAGCCAGCCCTCTGTGCAGCTGGCAGCTAGAAGGACACCCCTGCAGGGAAGGGGTGTGTCCCGTCTATTCTAACTTCTCTCTCCAAGCAGACACCCCGCAGAGCCTGCCGTGGGAGCGCCCCGACAGGACCCACAGAGACCTCCTTCCGTGGGAGCGCCCCGACAGGACCCACAGAGACCTCCTTCCGTGGGACCCCCGACAGGACCCACAGAGACCTCCTTCCGTGGGAGCGCCCCGACAGGACCCACAGAGACCTCCTTCCGTGGGAGCGCCCCGACAGGACCCACAGAGACCTCCTTCCGTGGAACCCCCGACAGGACCCACAGAGACCTCCTTCCGTGGGACCCCCGACAGGACCCACAGAGACCTCCTTCCGTGGGAGCGCCCCGACAGGACCCACAGAGACCTCTTCCGTGGGAGCGCCCCGACAGGACCCACAGAGACCTCCTTCCGTGGGACCCCCGACAGGACCCACAGAGACCTCCTTCCGTGGGACCCCCGACAGGACCCACAGAGACCTCCTTCCGTGGGACCCCCGACAGGACCCTCAGCCTTGGCGTGGCCACAGGTGTGCTGCCGCGGCTACAGCTTAGCGCACGACTAGGACCCGGGGCTCAAGGGCCACAGACCCTGCTGAGCCCCAGGACGGCTGGCCGCGTGTGGGCTTAGAGAGCGCTGTCACATTCCGGGAAGGAGGGAGGACGGCCGACAGGCAGACGTGGGCAGCCAGCGTGCAGACGCAAGGGAGGCTGGCGCACTGGCTCACCGCGCTGACCTGGGCCCTGCTCCCGCTTCCTTCCTCGCAACCCGAGGGGTCAGCCTGGAAAAGGAGACGGGCCACACCCTCCTCCCTCCACCAAGAGTCATGCTCGAGCTAGGTGTGGTGACACACGCCAGGCTGCGATGCCAATGTGGAATCATGAGTTCAAGACCAGCCTGGGCCACAAGGTGATTCTGTCTCCGCAAGCAAATGCTCTTACCTCACAGGTCAGCACTGACCATCACGCGAACATTTTGTGCCTTTTCTTGAGGATCTTAAGGTGCATGCCGGCCTTCGAGACAGGACCTGAAAGGCATCAAGAGCTGACTAGAGACGTGACTTGCTTTGTTGTTTGCACTGGAAGGTGTGAGCATGCGGCCACGTGACCCTCACCCTGGCTTCCACTCACTGGCTGCCTTCTACATTCTGATCACATGCGAACAGATCACAACCCTGGAAATTCACTCATTGATTTTGGTGTTTTGCTTTTATTCAGGATGGGCTCTATCTATGTTGCCCAGACTGGCTTAAGACCCTCCCGCCTCAGCCTCCCTAGGGGCTGGAACCACAGGCAAGCCCCACCATGCCCAGTAGATATTTACCTTTAGTCTATTGTACCCTCCTACTCTTTTGGCCTAGCGTTAAATTCAAACCTATAAGCCACAATCTCTCAAGAAAGACCCAGGGATAATCCAGGTCAGATCTGGCTGCTCCTTACTCCAGCCATCTGCAAACTGTTTGAGTAGCCATGTGAAGTGAACCGTAGGAAAGGGGGGAGAGCGAGTCCAAGCCGGTGCGCTGGAGTGCCGGCCCTGCTAGGAGGGAGCAAAGCAGCAAAGGAAGAGCTGGGACCCAGTGGGGGTCACAGAACCCTGGCAAATGGACAATCCAGGAATCTTCTAGAAACACTGATGTGGCCCGAGACATGTGGGGTCCCCAACAAGTGTGTCAGTCACTGCCAAGTTTCCCTAAGGCTGGGCAGGGCTGCCAGAGGCCACACTTCCCACAGACACAGCTTCCAAATGCTTGTAGCTCTCTCCATCCTGAACACAAGGCAAGCCCAGGGTGGGAAGTGAGAGCCAGAGGCTGCCGGACAACAGAAGCCAAAGCTCTATCAGTAGCAAGGGGCTTGCTTCCCGACGGCACCACAGAGATGGAGTGCTAGAGAGGAAAAAGCAAATTGTCCCAGAAAAACCCACAGAGCAACAGCCCAGTGAAGCCGCAAGAGCGCTGCTACTCCCTCACAGGCCAGCAGCAGCAGACACGGGGGCACTGGCCACCAGGACTTAAGGAAGAGCTCTAGCTGCTATAAGACGACACTGCAGGGTGGAGGAAGCGAAATGAAAGTGTGTGTGTTTAAGTCCAGAGCAATGGGGCAGCAAGCAGGTCTCTGACCCTAGCGGTACAGTAAGGGAACTATAAATTCTGGCCCTGGGCCCTGGGCCGGCCTGACCTTTTAGAGGCTTTACTATCTCTTTTAACGCTCTTTTCTAAGCTAATTAAGTCTGGATGGCAGAACAAGGAGCAGGGTGGATATTTCCTAACATGCATCTTTAACGTGCATAGGGGAAGCTGGCTGCCAACTTCTTAATGATGGCCTGTGCTCACCTTCTAGTAAGCAATAAAATAAAGTAACTGCCACAGGGAGGGGAAAGGAAGGGGGGGGGAGAGATCCAGGAAAGAATTCAGGGGAAAGGAATTCAGAGTGGGAACAAGGTGTAGAGAAGAACACTCGAACACAGCAAAACCACAGTATTCTCAGACACAGGAACAGACACAGGGTCTGTGAGACAAGAGGTATGGCAACTTCCTGGTTACTAAAAACTAAAAATGGTAGTAGAATTTAAGATTCTGAAGTAGAACTGGGTGCAAGTGAGGACCATGCCAGGAAAGAGACTTAAAGGGCAGGAGAGAGCTCAGGAGAGACTATCCAGCGAGAGCGCGACGCAGGGCAGGCTGCCCAAGGTCGCAGGGACTGCCAGCTTGGCAAATCCAAAGTCCACGTAATCTACACGTGTACTGAAGTATCACGTGCTACCCCAAAACTGTGTTTTCATTTTTTATGCATCAGTTATAAAAGCAGAAAATTAGATGCTGACCCAGAAGTCAGGAATCTGCAGTGAAGTCACCACACAGTCCACCATGCCTACGGTCCACAGGCCTGGCTTCACAGGCCCTCTTGTTGCCTGTGTCTGAAACTAGGAGCCCTGAGAAACACACACGCATGCACATGTGCACGCACACATACACACAGCAGTGGACCAGGGAGGAGGGCCTCAGGATCTGGGGAATGGAGAGACCAGAGGGGTAGCTCTGTCTAACATCCAACATTAAACATTTGGTGGTAGTTCCCAACACCCAAGCTCTCTGCCCAGGCTCCTGCCTTGGGAGCCAAGCCCCACAGAACAGCCCCCTGCCCCTGTGCACTCTGATGTTCTCAGACGGTGACCCCTCGGTGCGCAGGGAACGTCCCAGACATTTGACAAACCTTGCAGCAAGGCTATCCGTAATGCGCTAGGTCTTCCCGCCAAGGGTCTCCCAGGCTGACCTCAGACTCAGTCCTCCTGCCTTAGCCAGCCTCTGGAGTGACAATTGTGGGCCACCATGCCAGAGATACAGCAACTTGATTCAAACAGATGCTTAATAAGACTTTGAACTGTTTTCCAATGAGCTTATCTTACCAATGTTTAAAACCTAAAGCTGGCAGCACCAGAGGCTCAAGACTGTAATCCTAGCAACTCAGCAGGCTGAGATCTGAAGATCACAGTTCAAAGCCCCCAAAGACTCAGCTCCCAATTAAGCACCAAAAGCCAAAGGTGGAGTTGTACCTCAAGTGGTAGAGCATTATCCTTGAGCAAGAAAGTTCAGAGACAGTGGTGTCCAGCCCCGAGTTCAAGCCGTAGGACTGGCACAAAATAAAAATGTAAAGCTGGTTTGCAGAACACAGAACTGGCGACCGTAGAGACCCTGCCTATGTAGCACAGCTACGATGTGACCTCATCTTTAATTGTCTGTATAAGGACAGAAGTAACAGCACCATTTGGGAAGGCAGCAGAGTGCTTAAATACCCAGCCCACCATACAGCAAGCTACCTCTAGACAGTTACTCCAGAAAACAAATATGAATACGGACACAAGAATGTGTACAAAGCTGCGCAGAGCTGCCTCATCACAATATCCCCAAACTGGAAACCACCCAATAAGCCATAAGAAGATTAATAATGCATGGTCTAATCATATCATAGCCTGCTTCTGAGCAAAAAAAAAAAAAACAAGAAAAAATTTCTGATACAAGCAAATCTCCAAACCACCAACCAAATAAAAGAAGCCAGACACAAGGATCGGTGCAGCGTGACCCACCCGCACTAATTGCTTTTTTAAAAAAACAAGGAAATATATGTATATAGGCTCCACCTATGTCTATGTATACATACATATACGTTGTCTATCAAGCTATACCTCAATAAACAGGAGGCGACGACGAAGGGCTCTGTGCAGGTATCTGCAGAAGCTGCAGCCTGGCTGCATTCCAGTCAAGGCCTGTTTCAGATTTATGCTGATCAGTAACTTCAGTCCCCATGGCCATAGAGAAAGTGTATTTCACATAAACACTGACACAAGCACAAAAGGCCCGAGCCTGTGATTCCTGCGCATGCTGGAGCTTCCCGCTGCTGTCCCGTCCACACTCAGAGTCGTGGTCAAGCACCTTCACCCCAGGTCACTGCCTCATGCTACCACTAGGAAGAGGAGCGGAGCTAAGGGACAGCTTCAGTGAGCCAACAGCTCATCCCACCTGGCAAACAAGTGTGGCATGCAGATCATCTATTGTGTTCTTAAAGGTTCTTTCCACCAACCTGCAATCATGAAATATTTAGCGTGTCCTCCCAAACTCTACCAATAACATACGCCATGTGAAACCACTGTTTTCTTCAATGACCCCAAGAACCAACTATTTCTATTTCTCAAAGGTTTAAGAAAACACACTAGAGCCAGGCGCTGGTGGCTCATGCCTGTAATCCTAGCTACTCAGGAGGCTGAGATCTAAGGATCACAGTTCAAAGCCAGGCAGGGCAGGAAAGTCCATGAGACTCTTTATCTCCAATAGAACACCAGAAAACTGGAAGTGGCGCTGTGGCTCAAGTGGTAGAGCACTAGCCTTGAACTGAAGAGCTGAGGGACAGTGCCCAAGCCCAGAGTTCAAGCCACACAACCAACAGGAGAAAAGAAAACACACTAGAACACTAAGCCAAGTGTCAGTAGCAAGCTGGCACATGACCAGTACTGCTAACAGCACCTTATTTTCCCTTTCTAGAAAGGGAAAGGTCTTTTAGACCACAACTCGTGGTCACTGTGAAGCAGCACTTGGACAGTGTAGCCACGAGGCAGTGGTGGGCAGGTGGTGAGGAGCAGCCCCCGCCTGTCTCCCCCCACTTCCCCAGAGATCTCTGTCTCTGAACAGGGAGTCTTGCTTTCCCGTCTATATACATCCTCTCCAGGAGTGACCTTGCATCATAAAAAGGGAAGTACAGCTAGAAAACTCCCAACCTCACAGCATACCAGTGGGCCAAGCCAAGAGCTCTTCAGCAACTCCACCCGGGAGGTAGGGAGTCAAAGCAGAACCCCAGATCGTGATGCCCCCGTTCCTATTGCAGTAAGCCACCTAGCTACTGAGGACAAAAGCCAAGTGCTCCTGTCCCTGACTTCCTCCCCCCCCATCAGCAAGCAGAGTCCTCCCACCACCTCCCCTCCTCCCCTAGATCCAGGTACTGTGGGCACTCACCTAGGCAAACTCCCAGCTCCCCAACACTCATCCCCACTGTGGGGGCCTCCACATACACAGGCCGGATTCTGCCTCTCCCAGGCTGCCCCAAGCTGCCTTTTCAAAGGCCTCCCAAAGCCTTCAGTGCCCTCAGATCTCACCTCCCACAGCCAACGGAAGAGCAGGGAGGCAGACCTGACGATGTGGGCACGGGCACTGGCATGAGAGGGGCGGGCAGTAAAGAGGGCGGGGGGGGGGTCCTTGCCTAGGAGTGGGACTGAGGGCTGGGAGTTTGAGAAATAGGGTTAAGGACATACATAATAAGCAAGACGGGGACGCGGAGAAAAACTCACTGTCGCGCGAGGGGGGCTCCCTGAACGGCCTAAGCGAGGCGGTCCCCAGGACTGCACAGGATCTGCGCTTCCCTCCATCCACTCTGAGGCCAGACAAGGCAGTTAGTGTGCTGAAGAAAACCAGCACAGAAAACACACTCTCAAGAACGCAAGTCCAGACATAAAAAACTCTAGACACCTGAGACTCTAAGACTGGCAATCCCAGCCCCCCTCCACAACTGAAATGGAACTTCCGTACCTGTGACCCAGCAGCAGACCCAGCAGGATGCAAAATGGTCTGAAAACCTAG